GTTTCATTGTGAGCCCTAACCTAATCCTCCGCGGCTGCTACCATTGTGGTGTTGTGTGCCTGTTAACGGCAGTTTTACCTTTCTGTGGGATACTTACATTGTTGAAGAGCGAGCCGACGTTTGCGGTGACGAGCAGCACGTTGGCGAACGTGTCCATGTTTAACCGACCACTCTCACAAACCGTCCCGGTGGGGAAAAAACTTCCGATCCGTCGGTAGCGCCTCTGTTGGAGCTTAAACAGGCTTACCGTGGGAGCCAAAAACCTAAGTTTAAATCAGCTGTGGTTGGAAGTACGCCACCATCATCTCAGTATGTGAGAGCCGCTCGCGGTCCAACTCGGTCGCTGCTGATGGCGGGCAGTCGGCTCAGGTCGTCATCACACACCTTGGTAGGGCTCATACTCTTCGCCGAGTCTCCGGGAGCGGAGAGTTTAACTGCGTGGATTCCCTCCCCCCTCTGAGCTAATTGGACTAGTAGCTTCTTAACGGACTAAAAGAGTCAGGACGGAGCAGTGCTGCTGCCGCTGCCTTCAAAAGTGCTCAAACAAGCCGGAGGAAGCTGACAGGTTGTTTTGACAGCCGCTCCGCCCTCGCGCAAGTAGTTTGAAATTTGAAAAATACCTGACGTGACAAAAAGCCTTGCTGAAGGCTCGTGCCATATTCCACACCCACGCACACGTCAGTGTATTTCAATCGGCCCCGCTCACATTACTCAAACCAAATCCCAAAAGGAACGAAATAAATGTTTTGTGTTAAAAGTATTTTCATTTGTGTGTCACCATGATTTTAAACGTCTCAAAATGTAAAATGTCATTGAGACTGAAACCATTCGGTAGCATCACAATAATGACTTTAACGTCTCCCCCCTGGACTGGTTGACAGGACAAACATTCATGGTGCTCTCCACAAATATGCCATACAAAGTCATAAAAAGTCAGGTTGAAAAGTTTTCCACAAGCCTTGTGGAGGACACAGCAAGCATTTGAAAGAAGGTGCTCTGGTAAAAGATATACATGTTTTGCTTTATTTATTTATTTTTTGCTCTGCATGTAAAATCCTTTGTATGGCTGACAACTGACACTCTGAACATGCTATCCTCATTTGGACGCTGGTCAAAGCAGATTTGAAGATGGACGAAGCTAAACACAGCTATATCCCTGGTGGAATGGTTTAACTCAAACAAATATTTATGTATTTGCATTTCCTATACTTAATTCATGTAGATACCTGAAAATATATGTTCCACCACTCTGTGGATAGTGATGGACCTATTTTTGCAAAGAATGTGCAACACTTGAAGTATAGGTCAAAACACTTGCATAATGTGACTCACACACTCATAATGTGACTGCCAGTGAACTGGAAACCATTTTTGAGCTCTGTTATCTCTGTTCAACAACAACAACAAAAAAAAACCATTTCAAGTAACTGACGTAAGAAGTTTATCTTTGATTGGGCTACGGGAAACGATTTTTTTTTTTTTTTTCCAATTTACCCAATTATTCTTCTGTGAACTATGTGATGGTAAGATGTGTGTTTCTCAAGAAACGGCCTTAGATAGCGGTATCTTTTACCACAGCACCATCCGTTGGAGTCAGTAGAGCTATAAAACCCTGTGAAGCAAATGGATCTGTGCCATCCAGTGGCTCAGAGTAAAAGGGTGTAAAGCAAAGGCTGCTGGGTGGCTGACTCCGTCTCTCCATAGTGCTGTTACTGAGCCGTAAACCATGGCAGGAGTTACGCAACCAGCCTTTTGAGCGCCTATTCCTGCTTCCGCTCAGTCCTCCTCCAAGCACAGTGTGCTTTAATTCATCAACATCCACAGATCTATTTGAAACTGTTGCAAACAAAGACGTGGCAGAACAACACTGCCGTGTGTAGAGAACCGGTTTGGGACGTCCAGCTAAAGGTGGATAGCCCTGGATGCCAGATGAACTACATGCCCGTATAAGGAGATTTTAGTCAGGGCAGATTTTCCAAAAAAATATCCAACAGAATCACAACCAACTTGTCAGTCTGTGACAAATCGTATTGCGATGCCTCTAGACGACGGCATCGTCGTCGGCATGCTTAGAAGGGCGGCGACGAAAAAAAATAGAACACAAGAAGGTCATAAAAATATTGAATAAAGTAATAATAAATGCAGTTCTGGTTTTTTCTGGTTGATTTATTCATTTATTTTTACTTTAATGCTTAATAAGTGCAGATTGTGATGCATTAATTCAAATAACACTTTAAAATGTATAAAATTTCTAGATACTGTAATATAGAGATTTAGATATTTAATTATTGATTACAGTTGGTGAAAACCAAAAATTCAGTTTTTCAGGTGGTTAAAATGTTACAGTGAACCAATTAAACATTTTTTTCCCCCATTTTTAAGAACAGAAATGGCCGACGCAGTCACGAGGAAAAGTGCTGACTTGACAAATATGACCGTCCACCAGGAAGGAGGGTTGCCAACAAAACGTCATCGCTAAGTAAGCTGGTTGTTTACAGTACAGCTGTATCCAAGTAACTATCCAAAAAGTTGAGTGGAAGGAAAAAAAAAAACACGGTAGAATAATTTGCCTAAGTAATATGAAAATTGGATTCATGAGAGTTAGACCTTCAAAGAGCTGTCATTCACCGAACCATCTGAGACGGACGGCAACGGCTGCATTCTGTTTAAAGCCACTCCTGAACCACAGATGTCAGAAAAGGGAACGGGCCACTTCTCAGTGGTCCACGTCTCTTCTTTTATGTTCTGCACTAGACATTTCTGCTTCAAAAATCCTTTATATTAGTCTTATGTAACATCGTAATTTCCAGAGGACCCAAATTTTGAGTTTCAATTACCTGTAAGCCATGACCATATAATAAGTACCTGAAAAATATCGTTGCGTGAGGATTTGATTGCAAATACGAGCCTCACTTTTTGAAATTAATTACGGACGTAAATTAGCTGCTCAATTAATCACCAGTTTGGATGCATGTAAGTGCAAGTCACATAACGATCTTAAAAGGAAAATATTTATCTGCCAAAACTCTGAATGACTACTGAATGACTTTCTGTTTCTCTTGTGGTAAAAAGACTGCTCCAGACGGTCATACACTTATCAGCTTTGATATGGAGGTTTTTCTCTCCGAGGACGTTAACAAAAAAAGTGTTGAAAGGACACGAATTGTATTTTGACTTCATTTTTGATGACGTGTTCTGAAAACATATGTGGCCAAACATTCCACTCCAGTCCACACCCAGTGACACAGGGATATGGCGCAACGTCTGTGTATTCTTCGTGTCAAGTCAGTGTAAAAATGTAAAGGAACTGAAACACACAACCAGGAAACCGAGCCCAATCAGAGCTTGGATCAACTTTGTTTAAATTGGGTTTCCTTGTTTTTAGGAACGACCCGTCCTCCGGCAGCTTTTATAGGCTCAGTGTGTCGCCTCTGGCTGGATGACAGCCAAGAGAAAGAGAGAAGACATTTGTTTGGTTTTAGACAGTGAAGAGTATTTTACCCGACTAAATGTACTCCCTGTCATGAGGTAAAATCAGTCTGGAATCAGAAGCCGCTGGACATCATCAGCTGGAGAAAATCGGAATATTAACTTTAAATTCCCCTCTGAATTTCCTTTTAATTTCAAGTTTGTGATTTTTTTTTTTTTTAATTAAATCAGTGAAATACAAATTTGATTACTAACAGGTTGAATGTTTAATTATTTGAGACTGAACCCTTTATAAAACTCATGTTAATGTGATCTGAGAAGAAATACGTTCTCAAAGCCTTTTTTGAATCTTCTTCACATGTCCAGTTTAGACTGAGAATTTATGTTTTCAGGAAGAAAGATTTCTGAAACTTGAGACTGTTGAAAAAAATATATATATTTTAATACGTAACTTTTAAGTAGCTTAACGGTTAATGATCCGTCACTTACGACACGTTATAACATCGAGAACGCACACGTCATTCCTTACATCGGTGCCTCAGCTAATACAATAAACTTTACTTTTCCCGAGTGTTCATGGTTCAGAGGTTGATTTTTATGACGCATTTATGATCGTGAAAAATACAACACATTTTATGATGTTTAACAGCCCTTTGTGGCAAGTTCAGATGGAACAAACCACAAGTCAAGAGTTGACTCCCGTTCTTAAATATTGATTTGACAGGATCTAAATGACTGTCCCTGTTAATGCCAAACTGACCAGCTCAATGTTTCAGGGAGAAACCTGAAAAAAATAGGCTGTTGCCACGGCGCTACCTCCCCAGCCTAATGCAAAGCCTCAACTACAGCTACAGTCCCTTCTAGAGACCTCATTGAGATTGCAAAGTACGGGGAAGGAAAAAACAAAACAAACAAAATAAAAACATCTTCATTTAAAGGAAAAATATAGACGAAAGCTTCTAGCTTTTATTGAAATGAGGTAAATACAGAAACTGCACAAAACCAAGCCTGATTGGAAATGTACTTAAATATGAACCCGCTGATTGTTGCTTACGGCTATTGTTTCTGTCATGGGTATTTATTCTATGCAGTTACCTTGGTGACCGTGAGCCTTTAAGGCACAACTATGAAAAACAAATGGTTTATGAAAAGACTGTGCGCTCCTTTACTCCGTGTTGCTGCATTGACTTGAGGAGGAGTAACTGCTTAAAAATCAATATGCCTGCATAATCGTAGCTGTAGGTGGACAGTTTCCACTTCATACTGTGAGATCTCTCACATTCCATGGAAAACGCACAAACGGGAAAGCTTTCCTGCTCCGACACGAAACCGCGTGTTGATGCACGTCGTGATGTGAAATAAAAAGCTTCTCATACAAGATCTGTTGGTATGTTTAAGATCTGTTTATGACAGTGTCATGTCAGTCTTATGCACACCCCTTCAAATAAAGTGTCACCGATCTGTTTTGCTTTCCTCCGGGAGAAAAAGCACGTAAAAATATCTAAAACGTAACAAAGTTTTGCCCTGCAGTATAGGCGCCGGCCATTTAGCAAATCGTCCCCAGGTTTTCAGATTAAAACACACTAGATTTAATCTACATTATCGCTTTTCTACATTCCAGGCACAACACCTCCTGAAACTTCAACGCAAGGTGACACGATAAAGCTTTTCAAAAGTAAGCCGTAACAAAACAAAAAAACAAAAACAGAAGTCAAAAATAGATGACCATTTGTTTCCTCGTCGAAAGAAAATAGACACAAGAGTAAGTCTTCCTCTTCACGCCACGCCTTCCTTTTCTACAGCTAGCGAGGCTTTTATCGAGCTATTCCGACGTGGCGGTGAAGGGGACGGGCTGGGCGAATACCCCGCAACAGTGATGCAACTTGACATGCCAGGCCGAGGCAGCGACTGGAGAAGCCAGATGGAGTATTGTTGACATCAAGGAGAGGACGATGCAGTGCAGCGGCTCCACCTGACGGGGTCGCCGCTGTCTGCCTGCCTGCCCAGCCAGCGGTGTCCAGAGCGGTCTCTGAGTCAGTCCACCTCCAGGGACAACCCTCAGGAGCGGCTGCGGTCCTCTTGGGTGCCCACGAGCATCTTGCTGTACAGCTTTTGCTGCTCTTCTTTAAAGGTATCTTTTACCTTGTCGCGCTTCAAACCTCCGTCCCTGCACAAACAATCAGGAGTGCAATTTCAGAGAGAAAAAAAAAAAATTGTCGATATGATCGGACGTATTGGAATGACGTGAAAGAGGAATTAAAACAGGTCAAAAGGTCTTTTTCTCCACCTGAAACCTGTAAGCTGTAATTTGTCATGGAATGAAATAATCTCATTGAAGAACAAAATACCGTTAAGCTGTTCAGTTTAATGACGTTTTCTAAAAGGTAGAGCAGCGATCTCAGCAGCAAGTCCTTTTTTTTTTTTTTTTTGCAAAAAAGGCAAGCGGTGACATCCATAACTAAAAACTCGGTTTTCCCACCATTTCTTTTTGGCTTAAAAGCCTCTTCAACTATCAGGCTTATCACGTTTGTGCCGACTTCCCTAAATGTGCGTGAAAATAGCGTCTTACCACAGGAGGTCGACCAGTCCGCCCTTCCTGGCTATGGCTGATTTTACACGATTGGCAAACTGAACGGCATCTTCTCCTTCCTGCAGAAAAGCACAAATATAAATACGGTAACGTTAAACTGTAGAGGCAATTAATCTGTTCAAACACAAAGCTACTTCAGCAAAGCTAAAAAAATAATGAAAATTAAAAAAAAAGTTTGAATTCAACAAAATCACGGGAGTTATTTGTGGTACACAGTCACTGTGATAATCAGGATAAATATGTTATTTGAGGTTGAAGGTTTTCTTTTTTTTTAACAGAAATGTTAAACAAAATAAGAAGTAGAAAATAAATATTCTTTATTGTCCCACACTAGGGACATCAATATGCAGGTTCACAAAAAAGATCAATAAGTGTAAAAAAAAAAAAAGAGAAAAGATTATAACATAAATATTGTGCGGTTATGAGAAATAGAAACATGGTTTTTGCAATGGAACACTCTTTAAGAAAAATGTGCATAATATGCATTGAACATTAAAAACACAACCGAATACTATAAAAAAAAATCATAAAATCATGAAATGAGAAAATTAACAGAAGTTCGACCACATCACAGTCCTGCTTGCTGTTCTAAAAAATGATCTCCAGGCATTTTTTTAAGAATCTTGGACTAATCCTTTTGAACAAAAACAAAAAAATGGAACATTCACAGACCAGATAAATTAAATAAAGTATGTTTAATGCAATGACAACTACATTTGTTGAAAATCATAAGGTAATCTGTTGAGTCTGACCTCTCTTGACATGGGAGGAAGGTACCACACGCTGCAGACGATGGCCCAGCTGCTCATCATGCGTAAAAGGTAGCTGACCATTCCAAACTTGCTGCTATTCCAGAAGGCATCTCCAAACCGAGGATCGTACTGCGAGGAACACATCAAGTTATTCAACACTTTTCTTTAAAATAAAGAAAAAAAAAAAAGCTTATTGATTGATATATTAAGGCATAAAGAGAGAGAGGAAAAAAAGGGATACCTTAATAGCCACGGGATAGACTGTGGCACCGATATCAAAACTCCCCTTCTTAAACATCATGACTGATGTATTGTTTATGCAGGTCCCTGTGAATTTCAGACGAAGACCGATCAGGAGGCTATTGATGAAACCTATAACTGTTGCACAGTTCACTCGCTGAAAAGCTCACCTTCTGGGAAGATGAGGATCGGCAGCTTAGATTTATCTTGTACGTGATTGCTCAGCCTGCAACACGAAAGCAACGGCGCTTATTGCCAGACTGACTGGAATCAAATTATGATTTTTTTTCACGTGTGGAAAACAGAAACAGTAGAGACACAGACGGAAGTACTACCGTTTGGCCACTAGATGTCTGTCTTTCACTTCTGAGCGCTCAAACCAAATGTGGGGGCAGGCCTTGACCATGGATCGCTGAATGACCCCCATCAGTCCACCGTGAATCTGGCCAACCTGACAACACAAACGAATAGTAGCATCTATTTGTTGTCAGCCGCAGTTAAAACAGAGATAATAAAGGTTTCTTTTTTTTTTTTTTCCTTTCAGACTTCCTGTAAATTACCATGGCGTAGCAGCCGTCGCTGGCCAGGATGATAACATCAATGGGTGAAGTGTGGTTAGCGACACAGATGCCTCCATTTTTGGGTTTATTCTCACTAGAGAAGTACAAAAAAAAATGTCTTAAAAACACTGCATTAAGACAGATTGTCACGGTTAAGCGTTACAGAGAATGTGAAACTACTCCATAAAGGAAAAAGCAGGACAGGACGAGAGTGGGGCTCGTCTCGCGTGACACAAAGCAGCCTATGTCGTCCACACCAAACTTGAACATATCGAGTCGACATTCCAGAGATAAAATTACGATCGTAAATAGAGCGACACCTCCTATGTCAGCTGATTATTTTTAGCACCCCACCCTGTGGAGGAACCAAATTCAAACAGAGACTGAAGGAACTTAGAAGAGTCATGAGAAACTGAACGGATTCGCATAATTAATCACAAGAGCTCAGTTTCAGTAGCTCAATTTAATTACTGATGGAACATTAAGGCAGATTATTATTAAAGTCTTGACTTCAACAGTGAAATCTCTAAAACCCTTCAGTCAAGTCTGAAACGCCCTTAGTCAACAACAACAACAGACCAGATGTTGTCAGCTTCACCAGCAAGCACACAAACCACCAGCTTCCTCCTCCACTTCCTGTTACATGTGCCATCACGTAGATAAACTTCTGCCTTTTCGCTTCATGTTCCCCTCAGATGATTACACTTGCAGTTTAAGTACAACGTGTCCCTCAATTACCTCTGCACATAATCTCAGTGAAGCAGGATTGCAGCTGCCTCTGTGTCTGACTGAACTTTTTATATGCTTCAGAGAACTCTGCTGTGTTTTTGTGCTTCCTCTGGACCCTAAAATGTCTCTGGCTGCGAATATGACTGTCGACAGCTTGAGCAGAGTTTCAGGCACCTCTGCATTCCTTCTTATACGCGAAGGGGATCACATTTCCCTGGGCACGGCTCGTCAGAAATTACGTAATGGCAGAGTTCTGCTGTGGCTCAAATTTGAGGGGGGGGGGACGTAACTTGGCAGGTGAACTTCAACCAACAACACTTTATTTTTTTTTTGGTTAAATCTAGCACGATTTGGAAATAATGCCATTAAAGAGTATTTGCCCCCCCCCCCTTACAGATTTCTTCTGATTTAGCTTTCTTACACAATGGTGATTTAATTTTTATTTCAAATGATAATTTCATTCAATAAAAGGAAAGGAGATTTTCTAAAACAACCTGATCCCATGTGAAAATGTAATTGCTCACCATTTCTGGCCAACTCTCTTTGCACAGTTGATATAATCTAACTTTGAGCCTGTTTGAGATCACAGTCCAGACTTTGACTGAGCCACTCCAACGGGAGGTGGGTGTGCTTTGGATTGCACCTTGCAGAAAGTCTCATTGTTGATTGTTGTTTGTATTTTATTTATTGTTTTTTGTGCAGCAGTCGTTAACAGTGGTTAATTACAAAGAAAGTAAAAAAAAAAAAAAGAAGCACGGTGCTACTACTCAAGACTCAAGCATAAGACAAAAAACCTGGCTTGAGCATTAAGCAGTAAATCTATTAAATCTGGAGAGGATACAAGTAGAGCAGTGAAGGAGTGCCAGTTAGGCTGCTCTGATAGCATTTGGTAGCCTGGCTCCAGAGTCATGGCACCACAGATTACAGCAGTGTGGATTGAGATCGCCTTATGCACAAGGTTAGCAGTACAAGGATAGTTACTGCGAGCGGTTTAGAGCTGCTGCTGCTGCTGCTGCTTCAGTCTTGCTGAGTTAAGACAGATGTAGTCTGCTTCTAGCTCTGTTTTTGATTTATTACATGGGACTTGCTTATGATTGAGGGTTCAATAAATAACAGAAGGGAATGTTATTTTTGACTACCTGTTATATGTAACTATGCTGAGGAGGAATCAATGACTATAAAGAAGTGAGAAGAAAAGCATAAATTGACGCTGCTTTTAAAATGTGCAAATGACCAAAAAGTAAAGCTGGATGTAGTTTCTTATCAAGTAAATGCACATTTCAAAGTCCTTGATGTAAGTTGCTTACAAAACACTCAATCTGCAGCACTAAACATGCAGAGCAAGTTACATATTCCTAAAATCACACCAATGAACGCGCTTCAATGCCTTACGGTGCAATGAAACAGTTTCTTTCGGTAAGTTTGAACCAAAAACACAATATCACCTTAAAAGCCTACAGTGAAGTAAAATAATCAGAGCTGAGTTCACAAGGTCTGCGGGAAGTCTGCACAGTCTGACAGATAAATTTGGGGAACCTTTGCAAATATTACCAAGTCAATCTATGGAATACTAACAGATTCCTACCAAAAACAAAGACTAAATTGTTTAATTAAATCAATAGGTGCTTAAGCCTTTTATATTACACATTCTCTCGTTTTCTCCCCCTAACAGATTCATTTGTTTTTCAGTGGAACTTGAACAAGATATAATTCCCATAATCTGTGAGAAAAGGGTTTGAAATGATTTGTCTCATTTGCTACATCACATCAAATTGGCATTTTAACAGTGTGAAATGCTGTTCACACCTTTGAGAACCAGTGTGCTCGAAGAGAAGAAGAAAAAAAAAAAACAGTCCTCTACCTGTCATGATAGGTTATGATGGCAGTCAGAGCTCTGACACATATTCTGTAGCACATCAGATGGACTTTCTCACTGAGGACGTTTTTCATCCTGTAGAGAAAACACACACACACACACACAGCATGAAGATACCCAGAGCTAATCGATTCATGAATTCAAACAGAAGAGATGTGATCCATCTCACCTTCCATTTTGCAGGAGTCCAATCAGAGAGGTGAGGAACACCAGCAGGCTTACACCAGTGAAGGCGAGCGTTACCCTGGAGGAGAGATGGACATATTAACATCAGTCTTTAAATAAAAAACAAAAAACAAAAAGACCACAGGACTAAGTTGCTGCTTTTATATTCTAAACATTCAATTAGGACGTCTAGTGTTAGTCTCCTGAGAATCGGCTACACGTTTTGAGCCCTCATGCAGTCTCTACCAACGTAATTAACCACGGAGCCACCGGGAATGATTATAATGACTAAAAGGTCAACTAAATCTGGATGAATCAATCATCCAGGGCTGCAGCAGGTTCTGATTATAAAGGTAGAGGGGATTAAACGCATTCAGAAATGCAAGGTTCCCAACACTTGACAGCACAGCCAAGATTTCACTGGACAAGGCCTGAAAGAGAGAATCTATTATAGCCACGGAGAAGACTAGAATGACGTCCGTCTGTGCAGCGGTGGCCTGATTCGTCTCCCCACTGACAGCTGGAAACGAGCCAGCCACGCCGAGTCCTGAGTGGCTGTCACTGTGAATCTCTAACACGACCCCGATACCTTTAACTCGCACTGGGGAAGCTTTTGCAGCCACTTCGGAGTCTCTGAGCACTGTCAGCACAGACACTGTGTTATTACTAAATCGTTTATTTCATTAATGGAAAATGATGCCTTCCCCGATGAAATCACATATTTGACCTAACATAGGAATCAGAGTTAGCAAAAATACTCTGAGTGTAAGCTTCATATAGACGACAAAAGATTATCCAGCGGCTTGAGTCACACTATTGTCCTCTGAATAGCATCTCAGATGCTGGAAATTATTATTTGTTAATCCTGCACAATAGATAAATGGGAACAACTTTTGTTCCACGAATGAATCGACCAACAACATAAACATTGATGCGCCTTTCAAATAAAAAGCTGTCAGTGGCTGAACTTCTGCTCACACCTGTGATTCTGTTAGTGATGCAGTCAAATATTAATTGCTTGTTTACTTTCAGTTTTACACAGGAATATTACGGGCATTTTCAGTGTATTAAATATTTGATGAAAATGACATCTCTGGATCTGGGGCTTAACGTGTTGCCGGTAAAGTAACATTCCTAATTAATTTATCAGATATAAACAGTCCATAATCTCCCTGGAAATATAATTTAGTTTTTTTTTTTTTTAGTAGACACATTGCAATGTGTGTTATGTTATTTTACATTTATTGTTTGGGAGAGTTTTGTTGGTTGGTCATTTTTCTTTTTTATTGAAAGTCAACTCACAAATTTTCTATTGCCAATTGCTCTTCATACTAACTTGTATATTAAGATGTCATTTTGTTTAAAAGAAAAAAAAACAATATAAGGTTAACACCAATACCTTGATGAATTAAGTGGTTAATGCAGCACTTCAACTTTATATATATATATATGTATATATATATATA